ATAAAATAATAAAACAACCTTTTTATAACAACAAAAATATAAATTAATGTAATTAACAAAAAAAAATATAAATAATATTATATATCAATTCTCAAATTTTTTTCATTCGCAACCACATGTGAGATCAAATCTCATAATCAAGCATGGAGAAAAAAATTAATTTAGGACAGGGATTTTTTCTCCAATATCGGATGAGATGCAGAATAAATGCTTTGTATAGTTCGATTAGGAATTTTCCCAAGCCTCAGCTACAAACCTAATGAATTTTCCACAAGTTAAGGGCGTTATACCCAGCTATACAGCCGCCTTTTTCTTATAAAGAATAAAGACAGATTTAAATATTAATGAATTTCGATGGCTTAAACAAATTCTACAACAACACCCTCAAGGAGAGCTCCTTGCTCATATGCACAACCTCTCTAAGAAGATTCAGAGGTTACGTACCATCGATAAACGGGAACCGCATAAAACACCATACCATAGCCACGCCAACGACAAGTAACGTAACGTCCGTATCCTTCTTATAATGTATTGTTAGTATTATCTTTCTCAAATATCAAAAAACATCATAAAATTTGTAAAATAAAAATCAATTTCTAAAAAATAATCAAAAAATCTCAAAAACAATCGAAAAAATTTCAATTTTCCGTTTGCTAAATACCATACCTCCTCTACAAAATAATATCATTTCCTAAAACCAATCCATTTCTTTTTTTCCCTCCGAACTTTATAAAATATAGAATAATTATATCATTTTATAAAACCAAAACATCTATATTTTATAATAATATAAACATAAAAAATAAATCCAACCTAAATCGCACAAAAAATTTCCGAATACGAAAAATCCTCAAATATTATAAAATATATAAATCACTTACCTAATTTAAAAAAAAACAAAACAAAAATAATCAAAAAACAATTTCATATACAAAATCAATCAATTCAATATTTTTATACAAAAGATTTAAAACAAAACGAATCAAAAAAATCAAACCATTATATATAAAATTTATCAACGAACAATAAAAATAATACAATACCGCGAATTATATCTATAACAATCAAATCAATATTTTCCATATAGACCCGAAATACGAAACAATAACCAAACCAATAATAAAAATCTACCAATATAAAATCTAAAAATCACAAAAGAATAATTTCAACCTTAAAGAAAAAAATATGCAAAATTACCTTCTAAAAAAACAAATAAAAACTAATCGCCGAAAACATAACACACACAAATCGAACATCGTTAATCGAAATTAATTTGTTTAAAAAGAAAAAACACCGAACAAAATTAAATATATTCAAACAATGAACATATACCACAATTAAAACATAAATTATATTTATTAATATCTATTCTATATATTTTATATAATAATGCAATTAGATTTTTTTACGATAAATATAACTATATTGCATTCTAAATCAATATATTTATTATAGGATATGTGTTCTTTAATGTTCTTGAGCCAAAAACCTTCTTGCTTCGGAGCTTAATCGACATTCTCCATCCGCTGAGATTTGTCATCTTGGCCCTGCAGGCCCACAGCGCGCACCAAAATAATTGACTTGTTTGTTTAAAACTGTTGAGTTGGACATATTCTTCGCCAGCATTCCGTTTTCAGATAGTTGCCTAGAATCAAATGCAAAATAGTAAACAAAATGAGGGAATTATCATCATAACTTGCCAGGTGGCAACCAATAATCATGATTGGTCTTCTTCAATCGCTCTGCCAGGACTCTGAACCAATGCCATCGAAAGTTATCAATGCTTGTGGCATTGATGTTGTGTTTTGAGTGTACCTTCTGGTGTCTGTTATCTTGCCTCCACACTTGTTTGACCTTGGCATTCACGGAACCAATGGATTTTGCAGAAGGAACCCTGCACAACAACGTTGCTGGGCAAGCTGAGGCAAGGTCTTAGACTGCTCTGCAACGTGCTCAACCGAACCTGGACGCCATGCCGAGAGATGTGAACACGCATGCCGAGCCCCGAATATCACCCTTGCAATCTTCAAGACGAGGTCAATTAAGTGGTTCAACTGGCGTTCAGCTGGCTATAAGCAGCACCGCATCCCAGTACAAATCATCTCAGTATAACCTGCCAAGCAAAACACTGCAAGGTGGTAAGTGTCCATAGGACTCAGCAGCTAGGTCCTCTTGGCATCATGTAATTATGTCACTATGACCGCAGGTTGAAGCAAGCACTCAAAGCTTAAGGAATCTCCGATGCTCCCGAGATAGTTTGGAATTCGGCGCGGGCTTGGGGTGCTGTCTTCAGCCTGACTCATCCTTTGCAAGTAGAAGCACAAGAAGCCTTACCCAGTCTGACCTTTTGCGCGAACTCTCGGAAAGACCGGATACCTTTGTACAAGCCGCAGCATATTTTTAGCCGTGGCAGTTGAACAGCCTCCATTCCTGAGCCATATGACTTAAACTGGCTTCTCTTGCAACTGTATACTTAAGAAATCCAAATCACTCTTTCCGTCGAGTGGGGACTGTCCTCATTCTACCTCTCTGCCTTGGGCAGCTTCAGGTGCGGATGCTCTAATCCTGTCATGAAGTGTAGCCTCAGGCACTTAGCAAACCCTGGTAGCGATGCCCTTGCTACATCTTCTAGCTATATACTAGTACTAGTAATGCCCTCAGGCACTTAGCAAACCCTAATGATTCAGCCTAAGGCGCCATCACCTATCCTAAAAGGCGAAGATTCGCCGAATCGAGGACATGTTGGTACGATTGGTCTTTGAATGAACCAGCATCGGTCGACTCGCAGTTGGAGAGATCTAGCCTATTATATGCTACTACCTTCACACACCACTTAAAGCTGCCTGGAAGTTCTATTCATGTGAACTAGTGAATTGATGTGAATTGAATAAGCAACCTGTCCTGTTCTGCTGTCGAGCTACTGGCAGTCTTTTTCTTTTCTCCTGTGATGCCAAGAAAAAAATCTTTGTAGCTGAAGAGCTGAAAAGAAAAAGCGAGTGGTACACACTTTCAATGACGCTTTGTTTGGCCCTGGGCATCTACTGTATCTGCCATAATAAGTCATCACATGCAACGTGAACTTCGATTTACAGTGAAACGGTTCTCACAGCATAAACATGATGTTTGTGGTGATATTGCACCCTGCGTTCACTACGTCAGGCTCGAGCATGCATCAATGCGCCTCGATCTCCTTTGGCCTTAAAAGGCAAAGCAACTACCAAGTCTTTCAACAACGAAAGCTACCATGGGTTGGTGACGAAAGCTAGCAAGGCCAGGTCAGGACCCTCAGGCAAGCAGCAACAAGCGGGCAACGCGGTGGGGGGGGGGTGAACTCTGAAGACCCCCGCTAGCAGTGATCACTTCACGCAGTAGGCAATTCCGGCCCAACAAACTTGAAGCAAGAGCAACTCCAGCTAGCTGATGCTGATGCTACAGTAGCTTTCGTGATTTCTCCGCTCAAGTTGCCGTTCGGTCATTCGAGTTTGAAGTGCTTGTATACAGTGTGCACACGAACGAAAGGTCAGCAATCAGTTGTCCATTCAACTCTGACACATGAGCTCCGTGTCTCCTTGCTCACGCAGGTAAAATGCTAAGGAAGCAGCATCATCAACTTCCTCTTCTGCGCTGGCCATTACATGTCGCACCTCAAATTTCTCGAATCTGTGCTCGGGCAGAAACCACTGAATGTGCACGCGCATGAATGAAACTTGCAGAAGTGGTCTACTGCGTATACTGTCCAATCACCGTCAAGTTCTATATCCAAACTTCCCCCCGGCTTCTGCAGAATAGCCAGGAGATGGTTGTAACACAGTATAAAACAGCAGAATCTGGCTAGCTACACTGAGCTGAGAGTTGAAATGCTCCAAAACCTTGAAAAAGTCGGCACACACTGTCAGTTAAGCGTCCTGCAGTGTTCAGGAAGCCAACCTTGGAAGTAGTAACAAGGGCATTACTACTAGTAGCTAGTAACAAGTGCATCGCTATTAGTAGCTAGAAGCTTCTTCTAGCTACTAGTACCAAATGGTGTCAACGTTTGCCGATGCCTGGGGCTCATGTCTTCTGGCTGGAGTCTTCAAGGGTCGCACTAAACGCTTCCGACCGAACCTGGATACTAAGGGGAACATGAATCTGAGTCCCAATAGACATATATTTATATATATATATATATGTATGATGATGTCATGGCGTGGAACAGTAAATTAGGTTAATACTGTAAGTCTTTTTTGAGTTCAACTTTGCGGCTGCCACAAGCTTCTGGAGCCAGCCCTGCTTCTTGTAGGGAGGGGTGTCCTATCCCTTGCTACAGCAACCAAAGCAATCAACACAAAGAACTATCGTCCGAAGAGCAGCTCGACACGAAGGCCATTACCCCTGTCGCAGTCACACCGCCCCTTCCCATCAAACTGTATCTTGTTTCGTATCCCCGAACTACGCAATGCCTGCATGTGTATGCTGTTTTTTCTGTACTACTTCTGTACATAGCTTTCAATGGCCTTCCTTGCGTGATCGACTCTGCACAGCCTGTCTTCCATGTACGTTTGCACGTCAATGGAGGCTTTTTAGCACCACACCACACATTGCTTGGTGGTGGTGATTCAATCCCTGTCAAATGAAATGCAAACAAGACCGGATGTTTCTGCATGACTGATGATAAAAGGGTTTTTTGAACCGGTTGTATGACCGTGACCTGTGTATGGCAAGTGTCAAAATGGTTGAACAAAAATGGAGTTCATTACTCATTACCAGCGGCTTCGGGGTGGCTATAGGTACTGAAATGGCCGACACCACAAAATTGTTCTTCCTTTTCATTCGACCGAAACGTTGAATTTGAGGTGAGCTGTGTCAAAAACCGGTTTACGATCTGTTATACTCATGACTTGCTTCCACCAATGCTTGCGCGGCGCTTCCGCGACCTGTGTTTTGGCTTCCACGGGCCATGTGTGGTTGAGATCCCCTTCCGCGGCGCCGTATTTCTCAAAAGTGCTCATGGTTAGATAGATCTCCTTAGTCATCTACTATTGTTAAGACTGTTAAGAACATAAATATGCACTTTCGCAAGGCTTCAGCGGTGTTGAATTTTGCCATATACTTACACGGTGGCGTCCGCAAGCTTCCACGACTGCAGTTTTGGCTTCCGCAAGCAAGTTAGAGTTTACAAGCTTGTTTAAACTGTTCATGAGAGGTTTTTGCCGCTGCTCAGGTAGTTCCTCTTCCTCTTTTGGCCCAGCTACAAAATTGATGGCGATGTCGGGAGCCTGCCGGGTTAAGCATTCAGTTTCAAGGATGCATCAGGTGGCCTTGATTGAATGGAACTTGTGCCTGATGTCGTTGCTATTGAGCTCAATTGCAACCCGCAAACCTTTAATGCAGCAATTGTGTGGATGTAAGAAATGAGGAATGATGGCTCTAGTAGCGGAACTTTGAAGGAGGTTCAGTCCCGTGAAGCAAATCTGAGTTGTCATATCACAGCTTCAGAGTCATTGGACGCTTGACCATTCCACCATTCTTTGTGTTTTGTATCCACACTCGCCTGCTGCACAGAGCGCATGTAGTTCCGCACTGGCTCATCAGAAGAAAGGCCACCAGGATTCAAGAGTTGCAAGAGGTGCACCCTGAGTCACACTAGGATGAGGGCAAAACTGAGCGGAACATCTAAACAATTTGGAGGCTAGGCCGGCTGGGCCTTACAGATTTCGAGAACAATGGAGAATGCCAGGAGGCTTCATACAATGACTGTGTATATTTATATAGATAGATAAGAAAAAACCAATAGTCACAAAGTACTGATATGTAAATGGGGGCCAACTCGGGTGGAACAAAGATGAACAAAGCCTAAATCAGGGCTATGCGAGAGCGCAAACTTGCCAGTGTCCATCTGCATCGTGATTGCTGGAGAGGCTCAGTTCCCACGCAATCCGGAGCGAGTACCACACTCCCGTCGTAGATGGACGAATTATTCAAAGCCTTCAAGCAACCTTGACCCCTTCCATCCCAAAACTCAATGTTGGCAAGCCTACCAGAGTGTCTGGGCGAACGGACGAAACAAATTAAACCCTGGCAACGCGAATGGATAAAACGCATTCAATCTTGAATTTTAAGAGGAAGGGTTTCGTGACAGTTACCGACTCTGGGGTTTTAACATTTTGTCTATCTACTGTAGGATGCGTTGCAGTGTAGTGATTTCAAGTCATCTGCAAGGGCCACAATAGGTTTGAATTGATAAGGGACTGGAAAACCTTGATTCCCGCATATGCCCCCTGCATTGTACTTTGGCATCTTTTTCAGCTATACAGCTACAGCTTGCTTCAGAGTGTTTGACTTCTCATTGTTTCCCCATGGCATGAAACAACGACAAAACACTCCATGCCAAGCGTCAAGGAATGGGCCAGGTTCATCTGCGTCACAGTCCCATCCATTCGAGGCTTCAGTGACATCCAAGTCCTACAAACCAGATGGAAAAGTAGGACTGATGGTGACTTTCAGAAATAGACCTACAAGTGCAAACCTCTTGGGCCCCTTGGTGATAAATAAGCAACTATATAATCAAATATATAATGTATAATATATGTATATATATATATATAACTGACTAACCGAATGGTCCGAATCGTCCTATGATTCCTATGGTATCTACGACCCTACTGACATAATGAAGAAGGCATAGTGGCATAGAGGCGCTTTCAAGTCCAACACTGGAAGCAGCTTGCAGTCAGCCACAAACATTTTTCCTTCATCTCTGATCTTCTTCAAAGGGTTTGGCAGGCTGCAGTCAGCAACCGCATTGTGACCCAGAATACTGGTCGATCTCACCACTGTCATGCCTGGAATCCTTTCTTGGAGTCGCTTCTGTTGTCTCAATAAAACGCCTCGAACCATAAACCTCAAACATAACAAATACAACATTGTTCTTCCATCTTTCCCACACACCACTTCCTATACGACCCCCTTGCTGTCTGAAAGATTGACCTCATGAGTTACAGCACCTCTCTCTGACGCACAAAGTGACAAGTGAGGCATCTTCATCTTCACGCATGATTCTCCTATTTGTCACACGCTGCATTCATTCAGTCCACCTGACTAGTTCTACGAAAACAAGTGATAAAGGCCATGTCATGGGGAGATCAGGTTAGTGAACGGGTCATGGGTTTGGCACGTGGTCCCCTGACACCAATGTCTGCGAAGAAGTAAAATACAAATCACACGAACATACTCTTTTCATCTCTTTTCTCTTTCTAGATCAACCGATCTTCCAACCGATGACCTTTCTGATCTTTCTCTCCGATGTCACTACCTGGTAACAAACACACTTGCAACTTGCAAGAACAAAAGGAAAACATTGTACTGTCAAGGAGTCGTTAATCCAAGACCCAAGGCAAGTGTAATTATATAGTATGATGGTTGTTTTTGCCGGCGGACGGGGGAAACAAATGTCCATGCAAGGCATCCCACACATACGTATGGAACCATGGAACCAAGCAATTACCAAGCTAAGACATTGGCTGAAGTGTTGCCTGCTTAAATTAGACCAAATATTGGCATTTGTCAGATCTCGTTCACCACCGTGCCAAACCTACACCTAGGCCGTCTTCCTGCAGAGTGGTTTGTCCCATCCACAACGTCAAAGCGTTTCAGCGAAGCAATTGCCAAATCTACGGGCTGTGTTGCCAGTATATTGCTAAACAGAATCACTATCTATATAATATATATATATAATTCCAGTTTGCCGTTCAAGCAGACATTGCTTCAGTACGCAGTTGACGATATGTTGGAAAGGGGCAACTGTACTGCGGCCGCGGGGCCATATATCCAGAGTTGGCTGGCGGTTGAACAAAATTTATGACAGATAGCTAGGTCACCGGGTTTGATGTCTGTAATACAACATCTGCTGCAAAATATTTCCTGCACGATCTTGCATCTCCGTCCCTAGAGCGCCATTGCTGTGAAGCCCGCGACTGCGAAATTAATTTTCCTACACAAACCAACACCTGTCTACTGAAAGAGTCATCTGACGTATCTTCATCGATTCTGTGGGTCAACTTTTTATTCGGAAACTAAAAAAAGATCTTCAGAAACTTTGCGGTTTTCTTGGGTAGCTAATGTTCGGAAACTATGAAGAGCCGAAGAGCAACTTCAAACCTGCACGAAACAGTTTCTGCAGATCGCAAAGTAGTATATTTATACACCCCAGCCGTCACAAGGTATGTCAATAACCCGCCCACCCACCCAGGACCCAGTGCTCCTCCATGCAATTTGGTTACAATATGTTAAAATTATTGTAAAGTTTACAGCAGGAGGGAGATCGTGACCGGGCTGATCGTGAGGGCGCTCGACCAGAGCCAGCGGAAGAGACGGCCGACCAGAAACTCGACTTCCACGCTGGTGGGTGAAGAGGCTGGAATGCGAGGTGGCGATGGGCGGAGCACAGGCAGCAGTGGCCGGAGGTTGGGGAACTCAAGCTGCGACGGGAGGCCTACTACATCCTGGAGGACGTGAAGGGGATCAAGGTGCGCTGGTGGCACAGGGCGATGGGACAGGGTTCTTAGATGTCCTTCTCTGCTTTTGGGGCTCCGCTTCAACACGCAGTGAGGCGCTCGTTCGAGCTTCTTCCTGGGCCCTGGGACAGCAAGGGGCCAGCCAACTGCACGCCGGGCGCGGTGGTGGGAACGCCGCTTCATCCAGATGCAGCCGGAGGCCATCTTGTAGGAGGATCGCATCGTGACCAGGCTTTGCAAGCAGTGGAACTCGTCCTAGAGCCTTGGACAATCAACACAGTGACACGCTTTTGGAATTCGAATCCTCAGAAGGCTGCGCCCAAACACCGGTCGAGGCCAAGGCAATGAATCCTGAGCCCTTCCGTGAAAGAATGTAGCTGTGGGAGATGGTAGAAACTTCTGGCCTCATTGGGTGAGGAGAGCGAGGTGCCATGGCTTCAAGCAGACATTGATGGAGGATGACTGGAGGAGCGGAAAACAGCCAGTGATGGACTCTGAGGATGTCTGGGTGGGCTACACGTTCTTCCGGGAGATTCCACTCAGGGAGTGCGGACGCGGAGCAGGGCCCGATCGCCCGTGGAAGATCTTCGACTTCTAGTGAGCCGGCTTGAGGCACTACATCACGGGGGAGCTCTTCGGCAACAGGGGCGCGGCCAGGAGAGCAGCTGAGAGAGGTGCGATATGTCCGAAGGAGTTCAACGGCAGCTTCAATGGAGAGCTCTTCAAAGTGCGAGATCAACAGTGCGGGCGAGGGGCCAAGAAGCGATTGAGAGTGGGTTGAGCCTGGGCTACCCAGGCAGGCTCAAAAAGGTTTGGGCCATGACCCGGCCACTACGGGGATCGAGGACCTCAAGGTCATGATGGCGACCTGGAGAAGCCAGAAGAATGCCGAGGACCAGATCATAATGGGGTGCGCCCCAGCCAGCCGGAGGAGGAGACGCCAACATGGATGAGCGGAGTGAGCCTTGGCGGCCCCGCGGTGGGCTTTGACTGACCTCAAGGGCCAAAGAAGATTCCGAATCAGACAGAAGATTCGAACATTTTGATGGCTGACCACGGATTGGTGGAAAGCGAAAGGTGACCGCAATGCGGTCAGGGGGAGTGTGAACGCACAACCACTACCCCTTCACTTTGATGCGGTGCACAAATCAAGAAGTGTCCGCATGAACGTTGGCTCAAGAAAAGCGCGACTCCAACCTGTTGACCACAGATTCAATGCAACGTCGGAGGGCAATTGCGAGAGAGAAAAACCATCTAAAGTCATTCCATTAGTGCCCTCTTTTTGAAGACTCTTCGACTCTTCTCCTCCCTTTCTTCATGCCCTTGACACCAACAAATTAGGATCTTGAAGGAAAAAAGCGGCCACCGTGAGACCTGCGTTTTGAGTTTTGTAAGTTCACTGTCACCCATGGGTGTCACGTCGAGATTGATCAAGCAGCTTCCCAGCTCTTTCTGCCCTTAGATGTTGGACATCTTAAAGAACCCAAAAGGATCGGTTCGCTGCTAGATTGAGAATATATCCAATAGCTTGCAACTTTGATACCAACCGCTCTTTCACTAGTCACTCCTTAGTCCTCAATAAATAAACTGTTTCTAGTCTACATGGGCTTCTATTGTTCCAGTTGGTTGCCACAATTCTTGTTATATTGCTTGATCATGTCTATTCTCGAACATGTTCAAACGTTTAGCTTTGCGAGGCTTTGAATTACAGTGTGTTGCAAGGACCGTTCTTCAAACATGTTTCACTCCAAGAACTCCTTACGCCAAGGCGACTTTTTGTACGCACAGAAGAAGCGCTGTACGATAGAGGAGGCTTTTTATTGACGCAACAGGTCTTCAAAAATAGCCTTTAAAAGGAGGACATCTGGATAAAGAAAAAGGAATCTTCACCTCATTAGGGCAGCAAACTATCATGAAGGAGGCTTTCTGATTGAAGACATTTGCCAGGATGAAGACTTGAGAAACGATGGTTTTGATGCAATTCATATTGCCTTTCAACAAATACCAAACTCGGATCAACGCAGGTTTGTCTACAAGGATATATTTGTGTGATGGAGGGGGCTTCTGTAAAAGGTTTTGAAACAACTTGTCTGGGTAGATTTCGTCATGGATGATAGGCTGCAAACATCTGCAAACGATATTGGAGCAAACAGCCAAAAGCAGAAACTCATAAGGAATTCACGATATCTTTTGCGGGGAGCAACTGTCCTTGGAAGAGTTCCTGAATATTTGTTAGAACTATTGGGACATTCTTGGGTGTGGCCGTGTGGCCTCTCTCTTTTATTGAAGTAGCTTGTCTAATCCCAGGTCCTGTGGGACGTGAGTGAATCAAAGATGCGACATGTGCGAAGCGGGGGAGGCGTTAAGAGTAATGAAAGAACTCCAAAAACCAAACAGTGTGTTAGACATCTTGGAGGGGTCACTCTTGTTTGGTTTTGTTGGATATGCTTTTTTTTTAACTTCCTTTCATATTTGTTCAACACTTGTGTTCGAGATAGTAATATTACAAGTGTTGAGGGAGTTGTGCAATTTTTTTCTAATTATGTATATCATATATATTTTTTGTTGTCGTCATCACAAAACAATTCAAACCATAATCTGACACATTTCTGAATCATAGGCCCGTTGCAGCCACTTCTGTTAGATAAGGGAAGAACACAAGAAGGTAAGGCCCTTTTAAAGGAGTACTTACCTTCTCTTTCCCCCTCTTTTTGGACCCTTAAGACAATGCTTGCAAAGACCACAAGCATGCACAAAACAAGGAGAGCAAGCAACCGAAAATGGCCGTACCAAGGTGGTTTAACACTTGCCAACTCTGAAGGTCAAAATAAACTCTGTGAAAAACACTGGCACGCCAAGCAACACCTCCGCAAAAAGCAATTCGTCAAACAGGCAGTTCCTCAATGGCCTTCGTTGGGATAGGAATCTGAATGGAACCCAAAAATTACG